TAAAAAGGGGAAAGTTTTGAAATTTCCTTGCAAGGGGCGGGACCCCCCATTGCCCCCCCCTGAATTGAAAGGGGGTCCCACCCCAAAAGTTCCCCCCCCATTTTGGGGGGGTTTAGCGGATTTCCCCTTTCCCCCCCCCCCCCCCTTCTTCTTTTCCCCCCCCTTTTCCCTCCCCCCCCCCCCCTCCCCCCCTCCCCCTCCTCGCAGTAGGGCCCATGCCCCATGACCATGTTCCGGTAGAATGATTCAGTGTTGCCGAAAGCGATAAAAGCGCCCTTCCGACCGTGCTCCCCGCTGCTGCTGAGGGCGGGGACAGACGACCTTGACGTCTCCGCAATAGTGCGTGCCGTCCTTGCCAATGTTGTCCGCGTCCACGTCGGGTTGTTTGTTGTAACTCTGACCGAGGTGGGCTTTCGGCTCCATTCGCACAGCGGTGCCCCACGCGGCGCGTAGGGCGAGGATGAGGCGTCGAAGCGTATACTTGTGGCGGGGGCGAGGGCGGAGGGCTTGGCGGCGGCGGCGAGGGCGGTGGCGGCGCCGGTGGCGGTGGAGAGAGCGGCGGCGGCGATGGCGGCGATGGCGGTGGTGGCGGTATGCCTAAGATGGCGCCGACATCCCGATAATAGATGTTAACACCGGCGGTGAGGCTGGCCTGCTCGAGGTTGGCGTTGTTGAGGTCAGCGTTGGACAGGTCAACGTCGCCGCCGTGGCCGCGGCCGCCGAAGGGACTCTCTGGCGGAACCCGGCCCGGCAGTGAAGGCGGCCTGCTCGAGGTTGGCGTTGTTGAGGTCAGCGTTGGAAAAGTCAACGTCGCCGCCGTCGCCGCCGCCGACGGGATCGAAGCCATCCCCGGCGGTGAAGATGACCCGTGTTTACTTTTACGGCCCTTGCCCTGCGAACGCGCACCCCCGGGGCTAGGGCTCTCTAGCCCGTAACCCGATACCGATCATCCGGCCCGCTGGGTGCGCTCCTCAGCTCCCCGGCCCTGGGTGTGAGGTTGATGACTGCACTCCAAGTGCTCCAAGTGCTAGTGCTTGAGAAGGCACCAACCAACAATTGCCCCACCACTGTGTGTGTGCCGTGGAGAAATTTACCTCGTGCAGGTTGCTCACCCACGGCACCGCACTTTGTCTTTGAGAATGCCGTGTGGGGCTCCTGCCCGTGGTCCCGGGCGTGGAGATGCGAGGCGGTCGCCCCCCCTTGCCCCACCACTGTGTGTGTGTGGAGACGTTTACCTTACCTTACCTTACCTTGCCTCGTACACCGTAACCTAAGGAAAGCAGAGGCAGCGCCAGCGGAGGTGTGTGCTGTGTGGCGAGACTGGAGTGTGCCGAGGCGGGAGGCGGGGGACCGGGACTGCGGTGGCAAGCCGTCGTCGCGCCGGCGCTGCTTGGATGCAGCACCGTGGCGATGGCGCTAAGACGTTCCTCTTTCCCGCGCCCCCCTCGCAAGGCGCGCGATACACACCTCACTGACTTCCTCACACACGTTCGTGCTACCTCTCGCCCGCGCCGGCTGCAAAGATCAGTGCGAGGGATCCGGGCATGATGATGCAGCCGAGTGCGAGCTGCAGCAGCGCCAGGAGGCGCATCGGCGACCTCTTGCGCGGGCAGAGGCGGAAGTAGCAAAAGCCGGGGAGGAGGTACGAGACGGTGGTCGAGCCTGTCGCGCCCACGACTGAGAGCACGAGGCCTAGTCATCAACCGCCCGCGAATGAACGAACCAGCTCACTAATTACGCCCACGGCCGAAAGCACGGGGCCGAGGTCCGTCACGACGAGCGCGATGCCTACGCACGGCGAGGCGGCCGTCAGGGAGAAGGCAGCTGTGCTCTGCGGAAGGCACCGTCGCGCGCCGACGGAGCAAACGAGGAAGAGCGACGTCACTACCCAAAACGTCAGCTCAGACGGCGGCGGCGGCGCGGCGGCGTCGGCGGCGGCGGCTGCAGCGGTGGCAGCGCCGATAGCAGCGGCGGCGGCGGAGGAGGACGCAGTAGCCTCTCGGCGGTCGAGTGCACCGCCGCCGGCCTCCACGCCGCCGCCGCCCGCCTCCACGCCGCCGCCGCCCGAAGGGAGCAGGGCGGCCTCGGGGCTCGACGCGCGGCGGCGCCTCCAGACCGGTTCGGGGAAGGCTCAGAGGGAATGCGTAGGGAGTGTTGAGGGCTCGCTGCGCGGTGGAAAGGCCTTGCGTAGACCTCGGCTATCTCGGCTCTCTCTCGAGCGGGAGATCTCGGCAGATCTTGAGGAGATCTCGACCCCCTCGGCTATATCTCGACTCGATCTCAGACCCCGAACGCAATCTCCGACTCGATCTCGCGCCTCCGCGCGTCGCGGGCGGCGCGAGCGACGCTGAGGAGGGAGAGGAGGCAGGAGCGGGAGGGGTGGGACTGTAGCCCGTAGGAGAGCACGACGGACAGCGCCTAGAGTCGAGGTGCTAGAGTCAAGGAAATGTCTAGGAAGTGTCTAGGAAATGTCTAGAGTCGAGGTGCTGGGTGCAGAAGAAGGCGGGCCTGGGTGCGGGTGGGAGGGGGCGGCAGCGCCTGGAACACGTGGTGGCGTTGCTCGTCAAAAAGGAGAAGGGAGTGAGAGCAGGAGGGGGCGGCACAACAGCGCCATGAGCACGCGCGCGAAAGAGACGATCGGCGAGGCCGGGTACGAGGCGAGCACCTGTTCACAGCGACTTCACTGTGAAGGAAGAGCCGGCGGGCGAGGGGCGGGGCGGGGGCAGGACGAGGCGTGCTCACGTCTCCGGCGATTTGGTCGCCAAATGTGAGGTAGCCGCAGAAGCCGACGAGCAGGTACTGCCTAGACACTTCCTAGACACTTCCTAGACATTTCCTAGACACTTCCTAGACACTTCCCAGACGAGAAGGTACTGCCTAGAAAGCTCCTCGGGGGCTCCTCGAAGGCTCCTCGACGCTTCGGCTAGTCTGATCAGCCCAGGCGAGCAGGGTGTGCCCGACGGCGACGGCCTCGGAGAGGACGACGGCGGCGGCGACGCGCCGCTGCGACGGGCGGCGCAGCTCTAGAAACATGCTTCGAGGTATTGAGGGTGACGTCGTGCGCCGCTTGTATGCTTGTGAGAGTGCGTGCGAGGAGGCGGACAGGGAGGAACAGAGGCGGCACGATCGACGAGAGAAGCCTGTCCGTGAGTTTGCCACGACGCACCGTTTGTGATGGAGACGATGTTTTGCTGGCAGGTGAAGGAGAAGACAAAGATGGGCACCTGCGGGCGGAGGGCGGTGCGGTGTGAACGGCGCCTCGCCTGCCGGCAGGCGGAGAAGGAGGAGGCGGAGGTGAAGGAGGGGGTGGGGGTGGAGGCGGTGTAACGGTGGGGGAGAGGGAGTGAGAGGAGGCGGAGTGCAACGTTAGCATCCGGTACACAATCGAAAGGAGGTGCGCGCCACAATACCCGTCTCCCTTAACATTGACCATGCAGAAAGGAGGCGGAGGTTGGCCGCCTTCCGGACGGCGTAATCTCGGGCAATCTCGGGTAATCTCGGGAGGGGCCGCCTTCCGGACGGCGTAATCTCGGGCAATATCGGGTAATCTCGGGTAATCTCGGGAGGAGGGGCCGCCTTCCGGACGGCGTCGAGCGCGCTGGTGGCGGCCGAGACGGCGCCGCGGCACGGCAGGTCGCCGTTGGGCGGGAAGCAGTTGCGGGAGCTGTTAGAGTATGGGTTGAGGAGCGGCGAGGCGCGCAGCACGGGGCCGCTCGAGAAGGCGACAATCTCAACCTGCAGGGGAGGAGGCAGGGGGCAGGGGGAGGGGGGCAGGGGCTGCCTCTCGGCTGTCTCTCGGCTGTCTCTCGGCTGTCTCTCGGCTATCTCTCGGCTGTCTCTCGGCTGTCTCTCGGTTGTCTCTCGGCTGTCCCTCGGCTGTCTCTCGGCTGTCTCTCGGCTGCCTCTCGGCTGCCTCTCCGCTGCCTCTCGGCTGCCTCTCGGCTGCCTCTCGGCTGTCTCTCGGCTGCCTCTCGGCTTCCCCTCGGCTGTCTCTCGGCTGTCTCTCGGCTGTCTCTCGGCTGTCTCTCGGCTGTCCCTCGGGCTGTCTCTCGGCTGTCTCTCGGCTGTCTCTCGGCTGTCTCTCGGCTGTCTCTCGGCTGTCTCTCGGCTGCCTCTCGGCTGCCCCTCGGCTGCCTCTCGGCTGCCTCTCGGCTGTCTCTCGGCTGTCCCTCGGGCTGTCTCTCGGCTGTCTCTCGGCTGTCTCTCGGCTGTCTCTCGGCTGCCCCTCGGCTGCCCCTCGGCTGTCTCTCGGCTGTCTCTCGGCTGTACCTCGGCTGCACCTCGGCTGTACCTCGGCTGCATCTCGGCTGTACCTCGGCTGCATCTCGGCTGCGTCGGCTGCGTCTCGGCTTACCTTGGCTGCATCTCGACTGTACCTCGGCTATCTCTCGGCTGCCTCTCGGCGACCTCTCGGCTAGATCTCGACCGTGACTAGGAGCAAGCAGCCGAGCGCAAGCAGCGAAGCATACTTCAGCGCGTCGATCCGGCGCAGCGACACGAGCGGCGCAAGGATCGGCACCGCCGCCGCCACCCAGAGCCGCCTAGGCACGGGTCGTGGGAACTTTCTAGGAACCTTCTAGGAGCCTTCTCGGCCACCCACAGCCGCCGGTCCAGCAGCGGCCCGGAGGCGCCCAGCGGTTCGATCGCCTTTGGCACGAGGACTTGCGAGCGAATAAACTGCGGGACTGGTGTACTCACGTCGCCGAGAGGTCGCCGAGAGGTCGCCTTTGGCAGCGAGTCCGACGTGAGCGAATGAAAACCTCAATCAATTTGTCGACCTGGATACTACAGCACAACTTCTCTCTCTCTCTCTCTCTCTCTCTCTCTCTCTCTCTCTCTCTCTCTCTCTCTCTCTCTCTCTCTCTCTCTCTCTCTCTCTCTCTCTCTCTCTCTCTCTCTCTCTCTCTCTCTCTCTCTCTCTCTCTCTCTCTCTCTCTCTCTCCTCAGTACTCGCCTTCGGCATCGAGTCGCCGACGACGACCAAATACGAGGTCGCGACGCCTAGAAGGTTCCTAGACGGCTCCGGCAAGTTCCGGGAAGTGTCCAGGCAAGTTCGGAGTCGCGACGCCGAAACACTTGACGGCGATCGCGGCGTCGATGGCGTACGGGAGTCCCGAGCCTGGAAGAGCCGCCTCTGCGACGGAGCGGAAGCTGGCGGGACGGCCGACTAGGTCCGCCTGATCACGCTGTGAAGAGACGTGAAGAGACGCCGCTCACAGCCGAAGGAGGTGGGTGCCCCGTCGAGGTCCGCCGCTGCAGAGAGGAGGTGCAGGCCGAGCCCGGAGAAGAGGCCGCACGCGAGCAGCAACAGCGAGCCGACCGCCCAGCCGCACGCGGCAAAGGCGGCAGGCAGGCCGAGCATGCCGGCGCCGATGATCGTGTTGGTGAGGTTGAGGACGGAGGAGCGGACGGAGCCCGTGCGCTCGCCCCCGCGCCGCGCCGCCTCGATCCACGACTCGCTCTGTGGCAGCGTCTCCCACGACGTGAGCGGAGGGTGGACAGCGGCCGGAGGGTGGACAGCGGCTGGCGCTGTGGCCGGGCGTGACGCGAGCGAGAGGCGGCCAGGCGATCCGGCCGTCGTTTCGCTGCCGTCGGCGGTAGAGGCTCGCGCGTCCGTGGACATTGCGGCGAGGAAGCAGCGACGGCAGCTGCTCAGACTATTCGAAGGCGGCAGCAGCGTTGGCACACTACACGGCCGCCCCGCGCCGAGCCTGTGCGACGGAGTTTTGAAAAAAGAAAGAATTTAACAAGACAACTCTCTCTCACAGCACACAGGCTCGACACAGGTGCGAACTGGCGCGTGCTAGTACTATCACCGGCACACCACCGGAGCCGCCTAAGCGACTCCGTTAAGAACGGCAATGCACTTAGCTCCGTGCACAATGCCGCTGTCCCCGCACGCTAGCTCGTTCACCGTCTGCCTTTTACAACAAAACTCCCTCGCACGACACTGGGCACAGGACTGGGCACGGGACTGGCTCGCACTGGCACTAACACAGGTACACCACGGGAGCCGCCTAAGCGACTCCTGCGAGGGTGGCGAGGCACTTAGCTCCGTGCACCCGCCCACCCCCGCCACAGGCAAGCTCATTCACAACACGTTGTCGACGTCGCCTCCGTCGCCAGCAAATACACGCATTCGCCGCCCACTCCATCTCTCGTATCCTCTCCTTCCTTTCCTTCTGCCCCTCTCTCAGGCGTTCTGTTTCCGCGGCTACTCGTTCAGTAGAGGGGGCGTTCTGCTGCTAGGGGAAACCTGGAGCGCGGAGCTAACCCTCGGAGACCCGTGTTTACTTTAAGGCCCTTGCCCTGCGAACGCGCACCCCCGGGGCTAGGGCTCTCTAGCCCGTAACCCGATACCGATCATCCGGCCCGCTGGATGCGCTTCTCAGCTCACCGGCCCTGCGCCGATGTGAGGTTGCCGACTGCACTCCAAGTGCTCCAAGTGCTCCTTGCAAAAGGGACTGCTGTGTATTATTAACAACGAAGGCGCTGAGAGGGGTGCGGCTTCGCCTAAAAAAATGGCTCTTCCGGCCCGTAGCAAACGTAAGAGCCACATACAACAAAATGGGGGGGTGTACAGTCTGAGTGCCGCCAAATGCTGCCGGCCATACAGAGCCCGCGATACCTCACTGCCCCGGCGCCCATGCCTCGACCTGCTTGGGCAGCAGCTGGTCCGACAGGTCCTCTCCGTGGCCTAGGCAGCCGTCGTTGCCCTGGCCCCAGGCAAGGAGGGCGCCGCCGGCGGTGGTGGCGATGCTGTGCACATCTCCAGCCGACACAGCGACGACGCGCCGCCCAGCGAAGGCCTCGATCTTCTTGGGCAGCAGCTGGCTCTGCTCGTCGCCGTGGCCCAGCTTGCCATAAACTCCCCAGCCCCAGCTCCAGACAGCTCCGTCGGCGGTGAGGGCGAAGCTGTGGTACAGCCTAGCCGAGACAGCGACGACGCGCCGACCAGCCAAGGCCTCCACCTTCTTCGGCAGCAGCTGTATCTGCGCGTAGCCGTGACCCAACTGGCCGTCGTCTCCATCTCCCCAGCTCCAGACGGCGCCGTCGGCGGTGAGGGCGAAGCTGTGGCTATATCCAGCCGATACAGCGACGACGCGCCGCCCAGCGAAGGCCTCGATCTTCTTTGGCAGCAGCTGGCTCTGCTCGTCGCCGTGGCCCAACCGGCCAAAGGCTCCCTCGCCCCAGCTCCAGACAGCTCCGTCGGCGGTGATGGCGAGGCTGTGGAAGCCTCCCGCCGACACGGCGATTACGCGCTGGGCAGCCAAGGCCTCGACCTTCTGGGGCAGCAGCTGTATCTGCGAGTCGCCGTGGCCCAGCTGGCCGGAGTCTCCACCGCCCCAGCTCAAGAGGGCGCCGTCGGCGGTAAGGGCGAGGCTGTGGCGCTGTCCAACCGACACAGCGATGACGCGCTGGCCAGCCAAGGCCTCAACCTTCTTCGGCAGCGGCTGGTCCTGCTGGTCGCCGTGGCCCAACTTGCCTCGCCCTCCATCGCCCCAGCTCCAGACAGCTCCATCGGCGGCGAGGGCGAGGCTGTGCACATCTCCAGCCGCCACGCTCACAGCGCGCTCTCCCAGCGTCGAGGGAAGGCGGGTCGGCGTGTTGAGTCGCGTCACGCCCTCGCCGTGACCGAGCAGCGCTGGAGAGTATGACAGCGCCGAGCCGCACGACCAGAGCCGCCCCTCGCCGTCGATGAAGAGGCTGTGCCGGCGGCCTGCCGCCACCCTCGCCGGCGGGTTGGACTCGCGCAGCAGCGCCGAATAGCACAGCCACCGCACGGCGCAGCTCTCGCCCTCTGGCAGCGCCGGCAGCTCCAAGCCGCGCTCTTGCGCCCACAAGCGGATGCCCTCCACCGCGAGTGAGGCGTGAAAGAGGAGGGAGACGGCGGCGACGCGAGCGATGTCGGCGGGGTCGCAACGAGAGACGACGCGCACGAGGAGGTCCGTGGGGAGGTCGAGGAGGCGGATGGGCGGCGGCGTGCTCGGCGAGTGGCGGTAGCGGGGTGCGACGCGGCGCGAGCTCAGAAAAGAATTTTACCATCATCTTACAGCAGACTGGCTCGGACGCCGCGAGGAGGACGGAGTTGCGCAAGGCGAAAGAAGCCGCGAGAACAAGGGACCGGCAGGCGGCGGCGTCGCAGGACGAGGCAGAAGAGAACGACGCGACAGAGGAGGAAGTGACAAGGGAGAGACCGACGAGAGTGGGGCGGCCGCGAGGTGGCATAGGTTAGGTTAGGTAGGAAAGGTGAACCCGGGTACAACTTTCGATAAGTAAATTCTTTTTTGCGAATCCGACGGCGGCTTCTGTGAGTGTGAGTGAGTGACACACACACACACACTTCTGTGAGGAGATTTTTGTGCGCCGCCGCAATTCTTTTTTCTTGATGGCCATCACAGTGGCCATCACCCTCCTCTTGTGCATCCTACAGACAGGCACTCCACGCTGGCTGCATTCGCCCGCCTAGCCCGTGTCCAGCATGGGCTGTGACATTCACCTGGCGCTCGAGCGCGGAATCTTCAAGCCCGACGCGGCGACAGTCGCAGCACGCGTTTACGCACTGGCCCTCGCCAAGCAGCTCACCTCGCACGAGGCGGCGCAGGAAGAGGCGGACGCCGAACGCAATGCCGAGCAGCTCGCCTCAGAGTGCGGGCAGGCTGACTGGGCTCACCTCATGCAGACTGAGGAGGAAGAGCAGCCGCCGGCGCTCCTCCTGCCGCCCGAGCTGTGGGAGCGCATCGCTCGCACCTGCCCAGTGACCCTCTGCATGGATTGGGTTGCGTGCCCGTTCACCCAGCTCGCCGCCCTGCCGCGCGCCGCCTTCGAGAGCAAGCACGACGGCCTCACGGCGCTGATCAAAAGTACGGCGGAGGCAGTTTCCGAGGAGCTCAAAGGCCGGCTGGAGGAGGAGATTCGCTCGAGCATGCCGCCGGAAATCGCAAGCATGCCGTCCGACGAGGCGCAGCAGTGGCTGTCGTGGCAGGTGCAGTGGGGCCTTGATGAGGCAATCTCGCAGGCCGTCTCCGCAGCAGTCGTCAAGGAGATGGGCGAGGTGGTGACCCCCGTCTTTGGGCAGGAGCTGCAGCTTGAGCGGCGCAACTACAACGCCTTTGCGCTCTTTGGCCACGGGAGCCGCGCGCAGTCCGGGCTCCGGATCAAGCGGCTCGGCTGCGTCCGCTCCGGCCGGCCGCACCCGCACGCACTTGCGGCACGCGCACGGCATGTCCATGAGGTCACCCGCTGTATAGGCTGGCCTCTCGAGATGGCGCGGGTCGGCATCGGGTGCGCAACCTGTCGTTTTCTCCACAACCCCTCTGCTCTGCCCGCTCCTTCCTCCTCTTTCGCATGATTCTTCTCCCGTCTCTTCCCCCTTTGCGGGGCCTCTTCCCTGAGCCTTACCCGAGAACCGCTTGCGGGCAGGTACGGCTTCATCCCCGAGCCCGACGACCCCAACCTGCACTCGCGCCACCACTGCTCGCTCGACGGCCTGTTCGCCGTGGACTGGGAGGTGTATCACGCGCTTGGCGTACCGAGGCGCGGTTCAGGCAGAGCGCCACATCGCCATGAGTGCGCGTGATTGTTGTGCGGTGTAGGAGAGCTGCTCGTCGCTCGAGGCGAGCGGGCGTGCGCTCCGCCCCAAGGGACCAACGACGGACAACCGCGGTGGGTCTTGCCTGACGCCGGAGCAGCTGGCTGAGCACGCCTCCTCCTGGCGCCAGCATCTCCGCCTCCTCGTCAAGGATCAGCCCGAAGAGCGCCGGGCGCAGCTCACGCGCGGCTGCGAGGTCAAGATCACCGCGCTGTGGCCACGCTCAGCCGACCACGACTCGTACGACGACCTCCACGACGTTGCCGACGACCCCGACGAGCGCGCGTTCGACGAGGCCGTTCGCGAGAGCCTGTCTCGGGCCGAGCAAGAGCAGGAGAGACTTTTTGCCAATCTTTCGATCGCGACGCCGGAGGCCGAGCTGCCGGAGGCGCTGCGGCTGGAGTTTGCCGCGGCGCGCGAGGCGGCGGCCGAGCGCATCGCGCGGGGCCAGACGCGCCGCGAGCTCCTCTCTGTCAGCTGGAGCGACGTCGACGTGCTGTCGCAGTTGATCGCCTTCCAGACCAAGCTGCTCGAGGCGGGCGCCGAGCCCGCCGACTTCCGGGTAATGATCGCCTTTGACAACTGACTCCACAGACCGCGAGAGGTTCATGAAGCCGCGCCGTCCGCGGCGGGTCGCGTCGCGTCCGGAGATCCGGAAGCGTTAACGCAAAAGGAAAGCGGCTCAGCTCTCGTCTCACGACGGTTTGTTGCCACCGGACTAGTGTCCTTTTGCGTGCCGGCGTCTCCGCATAAAGCCGTACAGTTCTCCTGGTTTGTCGGGTGCGGATCACTCAGTGCGGTCCCTTTAGTTTTCGAATGGGAATCGGGTGGGAGGAGAGCCAAGAAAAAAGCAAATCTCCCGGCGATCACGCTTCACGGCGCGGCGCCGCCGAGCATTTACCTTATTCCCACGGACCACGGGGATATGAAAATTGAAATGCCGTCCAGGCGGTAGCGGGTTCCGGCGCGTTTCTTCACACACACGAGACTACGTCCATATAGTGCTGGCGACGACGACACGCGGGGGACTGGGCGCTAGCCGCAGCTCCCCCGGGCCAACGGGGGCCTATCCCGGTCCAGCCAGCAGGGGCATACAATTCCTGTACCCCCCTACTGTGAAGATCACAGCGGACCCCTATTCACACCTAGACACGGAGGCACCTCCCCACGTCCGCTGCCGGCTCCGCTGCTCTGCAAGCTCCCATACCTCACTCGGGGTGCAAACACTAACTCAATCGCCGAGATCGACCCTATGCAGGCGACCGGGCGCAAACAGACCTCGGTCTGAGGCGCGCCACACCGCCTTCGGCACTCGCCCTCGCCCGCGAGCCCTCGGACGCGCCCCACCCGCGCCCTCACCACCAAATCCCTCGCCTGAAGCAATCTGATACCGCCCTTCCTCCGACACGTCAGCTCGTTCTCCTACTGCGGCGTCGTGGGCGGCTGGACAGAGCTGCGCAGAGATGCCCCGTGCACGAAGAGAGTTGCCTCGAGAGAGTTGCCCCTTCCTCCGACACGTCAGCTCGTTCTCCTACTGCGGCGTCGTGGGCGGCTGGACAGAGCTGCGCAGAGATGCCCCGTGCACGAAGAGAGTTGCCTCGAGAGAGTTGCCCTTCCTCCGACACGTCAGCTCGTTCTCCTACTGCGGCGTCGTGGGCGGCTGGACAGAGCTGCGCAGAGATGCCCCGTGCACGAAGAGAGTTGCCTCGAGAGAGTTGCCCCTTCCTCCGACACGTCAGCTCGTTCTCCTACTGCGGCGTCGTGGGCGGCTGGACAGAGCTGCGCAGAGATGCCCCGTGCACGAAGAGAGTTGCCTCGAGAGAGTTGCCCCTCCTCCGACACGTCAGCTCGTTCTCCTACTGCGGCGTCGTGGGCGGCTGGACAGAGCTGCGCAGAGATGCCCCGTGCACGAAGAGAGTTGCCTCGAGAGAGTTGCCCTTCCTCCGACACGTCAGCTCGTTCTCCTACTGCGGCGTCGTGGGCGGCTGGACAGAGCTGCGCAGAGATGCCCCGTGCACGAAGAGAGTTGCCTCGAGAGAGTTGCCCCTTCCTCCGACACGTCAGCTCGTTCTCCTACTGCGGCGTCGTGGGCGGCTGGACAGAGCTGCGCAGAGATGCCCCGTGCACGAAGAGAGTTGCCTCGAGAGAGTTGCCCCTTCCTCCGACACGTCAGCTCGTTCTCCTACTGCGGCGTCGTGGGCGGCTGGACAGAGCTGCGCAGAGATGCCCCGTGCACGAAGAGAGTTGCCTCGAGAGAGTTGCCCTTCCTCCGACACGTCAGCTCGTTCTCCTACTGCGGCGTCGTGGGCGGCTGGACAGAGCTGCGCAGAGATGCCCCGTGCACGAAGAGAGTTGCCTCGAGAGAGTTGCCCTTCCTCCGACACGTCAGCTCGTTCTCCTACTGCGGCGTCGTGGGCGGCTGGACAGAGCTGCGCAGAGATGCCCCGTGCACGAAGAGAGTTGCCTCGAGAGAGTTGCCCCTTCCTCCGACACGTCAGCTCGTTCTCCTACTGCGGCGTCGTGGGCGGCTGGACAGAGCTGCGCAGAGATGCCCCGTGCACGAAGAGAGTTGCCTCGAGAGAGTTGCCCTTCCTCCGACACGTCAGCTCGTTCTCCTACTGCGGCGTCGTGGGCGGCTGGACAGAGCTGCGCAGAGATGCCCCGTGCACGAAGAGAGTTGCCTCGAGAGAGTTGCCCTTCCTCCGACACGTCAGCTCGTTCTCCTACTGCGGCGTCGTGGGCGGCTGGACAGAGCTGCGCAGAGATGCCCCGTGCACGAAGAGATCCCCTTGATCCGACGACTGAGTTCGTTTTCTTTCATACCTGCGCTGTCGTGGTGTACACAGGCACCAACACGCTGCCGCTCGACTCGCCGGTGGAGGTGGAGGCGATCATCACCGTCAAGCCCGCCTGACTCGACTACGGCTTTACGCGAGAGTGCCGAGGGATTGGCCGAGTGCCGAGAGAGACCTGTCTCCGGCAATACAGTATCCGTCTACCCCGTCAAGCCGACGCGTGGCCGTGGGGGTGGGCGTGCGCTCCCCCGCCTCCTCGGTTGTTAGGCAATGTGACGCTACCAGGGTCGGGGCGGGCGCGGGCGAGACCGACGCACCGGAGAGGCTCTGACAGCTGCTCTGTGCGGGGCCGGGGGAGATGTGAAATAACATATATTTTCGATAAACCACGTACGCTCGAGTCTCGAAGCTCACGAACGGCCCTCCCCCGCCGCAGCCTCGGCGCCTCAGTCACCCCTCGGAGGCGCCTCCCTCCGCTAGCGCTAGTCCCTCCCTGTACTTTACCGCGTGTCTGGAGACTCTGGACGCAGGCCCGCCCTCTCGCCCGCCGCGGCGCGCTCCTGTCCCACGTGCGCCGACAGACCCCCCCCCCCCCACACACACACAAAAACCAAGATCTCGCCCGCACCGTCGCTGCGCGTCGTGCTCCGCAGCCGCAGGGTCTGCTGCTCTCTCTGCCGTGCTCGCGCGGCGGTCCCGCCGGGCCCCGCGCCCTCGCCGCCCGGCCGGGGCTGGAGAGGCTCAGCGCAGCTCGATGCCGCGCTCCTCGCACACGGCCACCAGCTCAGGCTGCTCCTTGTTGTCCACCTCGAGGTACTGCACGCGAGGGGAGGTGCGGTGAGCATTGGGCGGGGGGAGGAGCGTGTGGCGAGGGGGGGGCGTCTCGCGCCTTCAAGCTCGGGGCGGCCCCCTCCTTGAGGGCGGCGGCCAGCGCCTTGCAGCCCTCGTCGCCAATCTTGTTTTCGTCGAGATAGAGATACTCGAGCCGCGGCGCTGCCCCGCTCGCGAGGACCTCCGCCAGCTGCGCCGCCTCCGCGTCGCCCCAGCCGAGGCCGCGGTAGAACAGCTCGGTCACCTTGTCAAACTGCTCCTCGAAGGCGGCCTCGTACAGCCGCTTCACCAGCGGCTTGTCGTCCTTGCCGTTGGTGAAGCTCTTCTTCTCCAGCTCCGCCGCGAACGCAGACGGCAGCAGCGGAGGGCGCCGGCCGCCGTCCTGGGTGCAGTCGTCTCGGAGGCTGCCGAAGTAGTACTCCTTGCCGGCGCGCATCTTGCCGAGGTCGAGCGAGAGGTAGCTAGCCTTTGTCAGGCCCGCCCAGCTCTGCTCCGTGTAGCACCAGCCGCGGTCAAAGTACTTGGCCACGTTGGTGCCCTCGGCCTGGTCCTCCGCCTTGTGCCCGTCCGGGAAGGAGGTCAGCCGCAGCACCCAAGTGTGCTGGTGGGAGTAGAGCGTGCCGAGGCAGCCCAAACCCTGCTTGAAGAGCGCGTTCTGCTCCTCGGTGCGCAGGACGCCGTTGGGGGGGTCGGGGTGCTGGTGCAGCGAGCCGAAGTCCCAAAAGACGCCGAGCCGCGTGATGTACGGAGCGCTGAGCAGGGCCTTGAGCGCCCTCGCGACGCGGGCGAGGTTGGCTCCGCGCGGGTCGGGGTGGTCCTTGGTCAGCCACGGGTAGGAGAGCGCGGCGACGGGAAGGAAGGGAAGGCCATACTCGGTGGTCGCCTCGACGAGATCGGCGAGGGAGAGGAAGGCCTCTTTGGGCAGCGCCTGGCGGTGGGCGAGGACGCCGCCCGCCTCGGCGTGGCTGATGACCCACTGCGCGTCGAGGAGGGCGGCGGCGCCGCTCGCGAGGACACGCTCCAGGTCGCCGCCGCCGCGCTTGCGCCACAGCTCCAGCATCTCCTCGTAGGTCAGGCCCGGCTTGCTCGTGCCGCAGCCCATCGCTTCGCCTGCCTGTGTAAGGCCGATCGGATGGTGCTCAACAGCGGCTCGGGCAGCGGCCAAGGCCGCAAACGCGAGCTGAGGGCGTGTCAAGATTTTTGTCTAGCAGTTTACAAAGATTCTTTCTTTTTTTTGAGCTAGACTTCGTTGTTAATAGGAACAAGCGAAGGCACACACGACATGACGCCAAACACACGATTGCACGCACCGCACCGCACCTCGCACCCGCGCCCGCCGCCCCCCCGACCCCCGCCCCGCCTAGGTGGGAAAGAGATGAGGAGATGGGACAGCGAAGGAGGAGTACGAGCACGTATGGGAGGGTTCAATGATGCGCCACGCTGCCCGGCGTCTCTCACTTTCCGGGACAGCCCCGCCCTTGTGAGGCAGGAAAGTGACGGCTACCCCGTACGCGCCTGTTGCTCTACTCGTCGCCGACCGCCCATTCCCCCCTCCTCGTTCCCCCCTCGGCGAGCCGATGATCGTCGAGCCTCTGCCCCGCGCGCCCCCGAGCCCCCCCCCTCCCACCCACCCACCCACACACACACACACACACCGCCGCCGCCGCGCGAGCGCCGCGCGGCGGCACACCCAGCTCAAAAGAAAAAGAAAAAAGGGAATGAGGAGACCAGCGAGGGAGACTCCCCGCCTATGCAAGCCCCAGAGAGGGGCCGCCATCGCCGAAGCTGTGCCAAAGCATAACTCCAAAACCCGCAGCGGCCCAGGGGGCCTTGGGGGCAGCCTGCCGGACCGCCGCTGCACGGGGCTAGGCACCAGAAGATGAGTGGAATTGATGAATTGGGCCGTTGTCCGTGCCTCCCCTCTATACGTCAGAGTGGGACCTACGCCGCGCCGGGAAAGGGGCGCGCCCGGTCCTCGACGGAGCCGCGCGCCCCAAACGACCCAGGCGGCGAGTAGTCGACCTCGAACCTCCGACATGTAGTTGCCCGTAGTTAGCGCCCGCCCGCCCCCGCCTCCGTCACTTCGTAAAAGAAAACACGAAATAAAAACAAGCAAAAGAGAAAGCGAAGCCAAAAAACGATTGCGTAAACGGCGTCACAAAGCCCGCCGGTTTTGATCGACAATCGTGAGATTGACCGCCGTCGACCAGAGAATGGCAGACGATGCGTCAGCTTGTGCGGCGCTCGCGCCGCGCAGGCTGGCCCATCGAGGGCACTCTCTGGCGCTGTCCGGGCCAAGCGCGGCGCCGCGCATGCTGCGTGCCACTCGCCGTGGCTTGCGGTGCAGCGCCACTGCAGCCTCGAAAACGTCGCGCACAGCACCAGCATGCTGCCCACCAGGCAGCAGAGTGCTGCACCGGCGTGCAGCGGACGTTGCGGCGCTGCGGCACCGCCTCCCCGCCCTGTCCACGGAGCAGACGAGCGGCGGCACGGCCTTCCACCAGCTGCAGGAAGTGCGCACTTCCCAAAGGAAGCACAGGATGCTCCCGCAGTTTACGCAGCTTTGTGCAGCGCAGCGCACGGGCCACGCCACACAAAGCCGACCCTCAGTCTGGCCAAGAGGCTGTCTGCGGAAGGCCTGGCAGCACGTACTCGCCTCCTCCGCGGCCATGACCTCCGCCCGGGCGAGCGAGGAGCGGGGACACAACCATTTCTGGAATCGTGTGTCCCCAACGGAGATTTTTTTCTTTTCCAGCGGGGACTGTACCGCGTTGGTGTCCCAGTGTGTGGCAGCCAGCTGGCTGTGTGTCTTGTGAGCCTGTTTGTGTCTTTGTGTTGCTCGTGCGTGTCGTCATCATCTGTCTCGCGTCCACGGTGGAGTCCACCCATACCGCGTTGGTGTCCAGTCCGAGCCTGATGTTGTTCATTCATCTTTCTACATACATACATCCCAGTCGTTGGTCGGACTGTGTTTCGCCTTCCCATCAATCAATCGGACTGTTGTTCATCTTTCTACATACATACATGGCACTGCAAATGTCCCGGTTCAAGATGTGGTCACGCAGGGAAGCATGTGTCTCCTCCACAGCTGGGCCGCGCTTGCCGAACATTCGACCTGGGGGTCTTGATAGTGCAAAATAATGCGGTGAAACGCGTACCGTGCCGTACCGCGTACCGTACCGGCGACGCGAGCTCGCCGCTGTCGCAAGTTTGGACGCTCTGGGGACGCGCCGCAAAATCAAGCCGATGGAAAGGGGGCTGACTGGGGCGGCCAATTCACACCTCGCGGGACTACTTATGTTTTCGTAAACGTAGTTGTGCCCCCCCGCTACGTCGCACGAGTGCAACCGGGTAGCGGGGGGCTAAAACGTCATTTCAAAGACGGATGAGCGACAGCGACCGGCCTACCGCTGGGTGCGCTTCTTAGGGACTTAGCTCCCCGGCCCCACGAGACAGCAGACACGAGAGACACACCGGGGAAGGGGAGAGCGGGGGCGGGCGGGCGGGGGCGGGGGCGGCGGCGCGCGGCGCACGCGCGACTGAGGGCAGGGGGTGGGGACTCCCGGGGTGCACACGCTGCGCGCACACGCACCACATACCCTCATGAGACATACTGAGGGAAGGACGGAGCGGCGGCGGCGGCGGCGGCGGCGGCAGCGGCGGCACAGCGCGCGCGCGGCGCGCGCGAGGCGCTTTTGATTCTAGATGATCGGCAAAAAGGAAAGTTGGAGTAACGGCGACCGCGTTCGCAATGAAGTCGCCTGTCGAGCAGCTTCCGCGGCGCGCATGCGCCGCGGGGTTGACCGACAGCCGCGCCTCTCGCGCCTCCCGTGCCACGCGCGGCGACGCGCGCGCCGCGCGCCAGTCAGTGCACTGGCAGTACTGCACCAGCCAGCACGGCGTGGAGCAATGCATCCAGGACATTGTGCTGGGCGCCAGCCAGCATGCCTCAGGACAGAGCAAGGGAGCATGCTGCGCACCCTGGCGCAGCGCCAGCTCGCCTCCAATCAGGCACTCTCACCACTGCACAGCCGTCCACGAGCACCCGCAGCTGCACTGCTCAATGCTCAAGCTCAGGAGCCTCCCCTTGTTGTCGCAGCTTTGTACAGTGCAGCGTGCGAGCAGCGCAGCGCCAGGCCGACCCCTGGCACGCCCGAGCGGCTGTGGGACGGAGGCCCACCGAGCGCTACCGAGCGAGTGCGAGCCGCATCGGCGGCCGTGTCTCCCGCCGCCGCGAGCGAGCGGCGCAAAGAGACTGCGTCGCGCATGCTTCCCTTGGAGGGATGTTCGTAAAATTCTTTTCTCAGTGTGCCTGTGTTAGTGCCAGCGCGCGCCAGTCCCGTGCCCAGTGTTGTGCGATTTTTTGGCGGCAGGGCTGTTCCAGTTTATCTTGTGGCACGCGCGAGCCTGTGAATAGGCCCCGGAGGCCTGGGGATGGTTGAGGGGGGGCCTCAACCCTCAACCGAGACGCGCGTCGGGAGCATCTGACACGGCGGCGTCGGGCAGGTTGCGCCTCTCTCTGGTGCTGCTGGCGCTGGTGGTGCTGGTGGTGCTGGTGCTGATGCTGCTGCTGGTGCGGCGCGGCTCTCCGACTCGACTCGAGGCGCGCGTCGCGGCAATCTGACGCGGCGGGCGGCGTCGCGGGCGGCAGCGATCGCGGCTCGACGGTGGAGGCGGAGGGTGGTGGCTGTGGCCGCTGCTTGCTGCTGCAGCTGCTGCTGCTGCTGCTGCTGCTCCGCTGCTGCTGATTGTGGCTACGATTTCTCCGATCACCCCGCCCGCCCGCCCCGCCCCGCCCGCCCGCCTCTCCCCGCTTGCCCGCCCGCCCGCCCGCCCGCCCGCCCGACCGACCGACCACCCATTCCCATCACCATCTCACATACCTTCATATAGGCGCTCGAGACCTCCTCTCGCTGCCTACTCGCTGCCTCGAGGGAGGAGGGGAAGAGGTCAGGCAGCATTCAATTGCGCTTGGCGCGAGGCCCCTCCCCGAAAGGCAAGTATTAGCCACATGAAATCCGAGACCCCTCCCCCCCGCCCCGACCCCCCCACCCCCTTGCTCCCCTCCTCGGCTATCACGCGAGATCTAGTCAGAGCTGACACACAGCTCCATTCACACCTCGCGACCAGAGGCGACTACCACCCTCGACAAATCCCCGGAACCCCACCATCGCTCGCCTACCCTAGTTCAAGCACGTCGCCGCGCTCACAAGGAGGCGCGGCTGTTGGCACAGGCGATGCAACGGCGGGTACCGCTGCGCTTTGTCTACGGCTCGGCATCGGGGAAGTGGCATGAGGCGAGCCCAGGATGGCTCGGCCGTATCCGAGCATGTTGGACGATTCGCCCCCCGTTGGCTCACCTCAGGCGAACCGCGCGGCCATTGCCAGTCACCCCGACGCCTCAGCCGCTTGCGTGGAGGGCGCGTCGCATTTCATGCTTACCGACGAGCCGGAGGCGACGCTGGCGGCTGTGCAAGGGCTGCTCGTTGGACTAGTGCAGCATGGAGCGTGATTGCCCACTCGCGGTCTCGTGGCCCGCTCACAGGCGCACCACAGGCGCACGTAGCTTCCTCGACCCTGTCAGCTGCCGAAAGGCTCTCGGAGAGTGCAGTCAGGACAGCCCACCTTAGCTACACTTTCACACCGTATGGCGTCCTAATCACCGGGCTTGACGTGCGAAACCCTTTTATTCTTGATCTTGATTGATTTTACTTTCAAGTAGTTCAGTAGTGCACGGTCGCCCGGTGGCGGTGCCGCCGCTCGCGCGATGTATCTTGGTGCCGTCCCCTGCACTGGCCCTCCCTGCTGCTCTTATTTCGCGGCTCGGACGCCGGTCGGGCGCCGGCGCCAAAGAGGCCTCATGTACCACGTCCACGACAGAAAACAAGAGGGGCAGAGTACAATACAACGGACCACACAAGGGGCACACACACACCACCCACGCTCGGTCAGTAGTACTCCTGCTCCGCACTCACCCTTCTCGGCTGCTCGCCCGCGCTGCCATTTGCGCCGCCCGACGCGAGGGCGTGGCCGTTCGCGCCCACCGCCCGCGCCGGCGGCACCGCCGACGCCGCTGCTGCCGCACCCGCCACCACCCTGTTCTCGGCTGCGGCGCCGTTTTGAGACTCCGTCCGGGGGGAGGGCACCGGCTGCGGCGAGGCGTTGCTCAGCGGCTGGTTGAGGGACGGGCGGCGGGAGGGGGCCTGCGAAGACGCGGGCGTCGGCGCCGGCGTCGGCCCGCCGGTCGCCTGCCCGGGAGAGAGCCGTCCCGGCGTGCCGTTCGGCGTCTCGTCCGGAGTTCCGCGTGGGGTGGGGCGCAGCGGCGGGAGGCCTCGCTTCAGCTCCTGTTCACAGACGCGCGCTGTGAAGAGACGCCGTCCACAGGGCGCAGCGGCGGGAGGCCTCGCCGCGGCGCCTCGACGAAGTCCAGCGGCGAGACGCGCGCTGCGGCGGCAGAGGCGGCGGCGCCGCCGCCGTCGCCGCCTCCGCCGTCGCGGCCGCCGCCGCCGCGGCTGCGGCTTGCGCTGCGCAGCGACGAGCGGTCGAAGTTGCGGATGTCGGAGACGAGGTCGTTGACAGGGTCGCGGCTTGCGCCGAAGGGCGTCTTCGGCGGCGGCGGCGGCGGCGGCCGGGGGGGCGGCGGCGTGCGCGGCGGCGGCGCGGACGGCGCGGGCGGCGGAGGGGCGTGGGAGGGCGAGGCCAAGTGCGCGGGGGGCAAGAGCTGGTGGTGCGTGGTGGGCAGGAGCTGCTGGTGCGCGGCGGCGACGCTCGACGCGGAGCGGGAGAGAGACTCGGTGAAGCCAGAGGCGGCGGAGAGGATCTTCTGCAGGTCGAAGGAGTCCGCGAGCCGCGCCTGCACGCACTCATTACGTAAATTAACTACTCAGTTAATTAAGGGAGTCCGCGAGCCGCACCTGCACGCACTGCTGAGTGAAGTCGAGGAGCTGAGCGGCCCTCCGAGGGCGGCAGCGCGCTAGGAAGTGTCTAGGAGCTGTCTAGGAAGTGTCTAGGAGGTGTCTAGGAGGTGTCTAGGAGGTGTCTAGGAGGTGTCTAGGAGGTGTCTAGGAAGTGTCTAGGAGGTGTCTAGGAGGTGTCTAGGAGGTGTCTAGGAAGTGTCTAGGAAGCGCCTGCACCCGCTCGGCGACCTCCTTGTCCGCCTGTAGCATCACGGCGCCAGCTGCCTTATGGAAGTGTCTAGGAAGAGTCTAGGAAGCGACCTCCTTGTCCGCCTGCAGCATCACGGCGCCAGCTGCCTTATGGAAGTGTCTAGGAAGAGTCTAGGAAGCGACCTCCTTGTGCGAGCGGTTCGAAAGACTCGAGCAGCAACGCACGGCCAGACGCCACACCTCCGCTAGCCACACCTCCTCTAGCCACCCCAACACCACTGCTGTTGCTGCTGCTACTGTTGCTACTGTTGCTACTACTCCCTCTAGTGTTGCCATCTACTGCTGCTGCTGCTATTGCCGCTACTACCTCTGTTAAAGCGCCTGCGCCACCGCAAGCGACGAACGGAGCCCCGCCGCCTCGGCCTCGGTGCGAGCGAGCAGCGTCGACATCGCCTCCGCCTCCACCCTCACGACCTCATCCAGCCTCGCCGCCGCCGCCATCGCCGCCGCGCAGCAGGCCGCCGCCTCGGGACAGGCGCTGCACTCATCCACTGGTTTCGCTGCCTTTCTAGGAAGGGTCTACGAAGTGTCTACGAAGTGTCTGGGAAGTGTCTGGGAAGTGTCTGGGAAGTGTCTGGGAAGTCTCGTACGAAGTAGTGGGCCCGCCGGCCCCGGCCACGCATCTCATAAGTGTCTGGGAGGTGTCTAGGAAGTGTCTAGGAAGTGTCTAGGAGGTGCCGTAGGAAGTCCCTTCATTAGGACCAGGCCGCCGCCTCGGTCCGGGCGAGGGCCAGGTGCAGTGAGCTCCTCCACACATGGACAGTGCGAGGCCCGGTTGTGCGTGCGTGCGTGCGTGTGTGTGTGTGTGTGTGTGCGTGTGTGTGTGTGTGTGTGTGTGTGTGTGTGTGTGTGTGTGTGTGTGTGTGTGTGCGTGTGTGTGTGTGTGTGTGTGTGTGTGTGTGTGCGTGTGTGTGTGCGTGTGTGTGTGTGTGCGTGTGTGTGTGCGTGTGTGCGTGTGTGTCCATGTGTCGTGTGTGCGTGCGTACCTCAGTCCACGCCATGGAGGAAGCCGAGCCGCCCCACATCGACCCCGCATGCGAGGCGGCCTGTTCACAGCCAGAGGTGTGAAGAGGCGCCGCTCACAGGAAGTGTCTAGGAAGGGGCCCCGCGGGCGAGAGAGGCGGCCTTCGCCGCCGCCTGCGACGCCGTGGCGTGCACCTCGGCCGCCGCCGCGTTCAGAGCCCTCTCCAGCTCGGCCAGCCTGGCGAGCATATGAGGAGATAACGATGCGATGAGGGGAGATACGGGGAGATCTCCAGCTCGGCCAGCCTGGCGAGCATATGAGGAGATAACGATGAGATGTGGGGAGATACGGGGAGATCTCCAGCTCGGCCAGCCTGGCGAGCATATGAGGAGATAACGATGAGATGTGGGGAGATACGGGGAGATCTCCAGCTCGGCCAGCCTGGCGAGCATACGGGGAGATAACGATGAGATGAGGGGAGATACGGGGAGATACGGGGAGATACGGGGAGATCTCTAGCTTGGCCAGCCTGGCGAGCCGGTGAGCAGTGAATTCGTTAACAGACTGATGGAGGGGGAGGGAACGAGAGAGCGAAGCGCGCGGAGCTCTCCGAACATCCTCGGACGATCTCGCAATCTCGGCCAACCTCGCAATCTCGGCCAACCTCGCAATCTCGGCCAACCTCGCCTCCTCCGGACGGCCAGCTCGGCGGCGCCGCCCCCCCGCAGCATGCCTCCCCCGAACGGCGGGGAGTCGTGCCTGCGGGGAGATGGGGAGAGGGGGGGAGAGAGGGGGAGATATGAGCGGCGGGGAGTCGTGCCTGCGTCGAACCAGCGTCGGGGCGCGGGGCTGTGCAGTGTGCTCAGAGCGCCGTTCGAATACGAGGGAGGTATACGTCTCCGGACGCTAGTTGGGATGCAAGAGCTCCGTCCACCGCTTCTGGGCTCCGAGAGAGGGGGAGGGAGGGGGAGAGAGGGGGAGGGAGGGGGAGGGAGGGGCAGGTAGGGGGAGATAAGGGGAGAGAGGGGGAGATATGGGGAGGTAGGGGGAGGGAGGC